GTGGGGCTGTGAGCAGCCCTTGCCTCACCAGCCTTCAGCTCACATGGGCAGCCAAGTCCCCACCCTTGCTTGGAGCCCAGTAGTGTAGATGCCATCACTTCCCCACCCAGCAGTGTGACAAATTCCCTCCTCCTTGCCAGGGACCGGCTTGTTGGCATCGGCCCTGTGGGTGCTGGTGGGGGAGAAAACCCCCATGCTGGAAGCTGGGAAAGCAGCAGCCTTCCTGATTTCCACTGGGAAGGACAGGGAGCAAGGGGAGGCAGCCCTTCCACGCCTGGCAGATCCTTCACAACCCTCTTTCTGGGCCCTGTCGAAATCTGCCTGTTTTAACTTGTCTGCGTGTCTCACTGGAGAGATGGACTGGAAAACACAAGGCGGATCCAAGCAGCTTTCTCCATGGGGAAAACTTCCAGCACATAATAGTCTGGGGCTTGTTTGATGCCTGCTGTAAGATGCAGCTGAATAAAACCACGTAGAAGGAACTTGAATAGCAAAGGGCATCTTGAGAAACAAGCAGCCTTTTCTTCCCTGTCCCACTGCAGAAGCTGCCCCGGAGCTGCTGTGTGTGCGGGGAGAGGGGCTGGTTCCCATTTAATCTCAGGATGAAGGCTGCCACTATAAATAAAAGCAAATATATAATTCCTCCTATTCCTGCCCGGTTGCTGTGGAGACTGCAGTTTAATTAACCACAATGCTGATGCCCGGCATGCCACAGAGCTGCCCGGGAAAATATTACGGATGTCTCTATACATGTCAGTCCCGAGTTTTACTCACGTCCAGAACTTGCCAAAAGTGCCTGATTGGCACGTGGTACAACTTGGCAGCATCACTCAAGCTATGCTCATGCTTCCTACAGGATGGACTGGGAAGGCAGAAGCTACAAAAATGGGATTCCTTGCTATGATGTGCAGGCTGGATGGGAAAACCCACACACATAGGGCATTTCCAGAGAAGAAAGGGGAGAGATCAATAGCATTTAGTCTTCTCAGGAGCTTATTTGGAAAACCCACAGAGATACAGCTTGTGTGATCCCAGTTACTCCTGTTTTGTGGATTGTGGCTTGGCGGGAGGCAGCGGAGTGGGTGCAGGAGGCGGCTGCACGTCTCGCCCGTGCGAGGTGAGATCTCTAGACAGCCTCCAGCTGAGCCCCCAAGAAACCTTTGCAGGGAGCCAGGCTTGAAAGAGGTTTCACCTTCCTACTGGAGACCTGCTGGGGTATTTCCATCCCACTCAATCTCTGCTTGAGGGCTAAAGCTGCTGCTCCCTGCAGTCCATCCCCACCAGGGAGCACTGGGGCAAAGCTGCCTGTACAGCGGGAGGTTTGCAGACCCCTCACTGCTCCCCAACTTCTCCAGTTCCTCACTGCAGGGGAGCAGCAGCCCCAGGAGCTGCACGGGCCCTGGGGAGAGACCTGCGTCAGGGAGCTGGCTCAGGCACAGGAAATCCAGCTGTCGAGAAGACTCCAGCGTGTTCGCCCATCCCTGCCCTCCGGCTCCTTATTCTGGTGCGCGTTTGCGTTTCAGACAGCGCTGATCCTGCCGGCCAGCCCTTACCTGCCAGCAGCTGTCAGACACCGCAGCCAAGAGCAGCCCCAGGGCACGAACCGCCCGCCACCGGGCCCCAGCAGCATCCCATCCACCTCCGTGATGCAACTCCGTGCGCGCAGCTGCTCCTCTCGATGCCAACAGCGGCACCCTTGGCACATCCCCAGCTGCTTGCTCAGCCCCAGCCTTGAAAGTCAATCTCAACAAAAAGTCAGCAAAAACCTTCCCGGGTAGAGAAGTCCGGGGGTAAAGTCTTGGTCAGTCAAGAGAAGTGATGACCAACACGTCCCCGTGCCCACACAGCTGCTGTCGCCGTGTGAGCTGTGGGGAGAATTCATCTCAGCTTCTGGCAGCAGGATGAGAGCCAGGACTGGACAGCCACCCCTGCTGCTGTCACAGGGACCCCGGGGGATGTGCCCATGCTGGGAAGCCAAGCTGTGCCCTTGGCTCTTGGGGTGTCAGGGCTTGGAGGGACTGTGATCAACTGTGCCACCACGCTGTGCTGTGTGTGACAACAGGTTTATTTCATAAATAAAAATAAAAGCAGGGCAATGAGGTCTTTATGGGGTCACATTTATCCAGCGAGGTCCTGGTAAGAGCTGGTACAGGAGAGCTGTGCCATTATCCCAGCATTACAATCCACATGGGCTACACTGGCTTTACCACAGGCTTTCATCTGGATCCCTGGAGCAGCATTAGTACAGAAACAAGCACAGAAGCCCAAAACTCAGCTGCAGATGTGGGAGACACAAACCCAGGTATCAAAGAGACAAAGCTGGAGAATTGCAGAGAAGAATGAGTTGTTTGGCAGTCCCAAAATTTCAGATTATCTTGACCTAATCCAGAAGGACTCACTTCCCTGGCTCAACAGGAGAGTTTATTTTTCCTATTGGAAAATTTAGACCCTCATTCCCATTCCAGAGCTCCCCAGGGCACTGAAGGAGTCCTTCACTGTTTTTACAGTTTGCATTGCTTCCCCTCTCCCTCTGTTTTCCTTTTCCTCTTCTCCATGACATGAAGCTTAACTAAACTCTGGGGAGGGGAGAGGAGAGGGGGGAACAGATGCTGACTCTGGCTCAGCAGTTCTGCAGGATCCCCAGAGATACAGGCACAGATTTCAGTGTCCTGCACTCACATGGAGAGCTGGGGGATCACCAGCCAGAGCTGGATGAGTAATTCATCATCCTGGATGAGTTCCTTCACCTTTTTCATGGGACTTTCCGTTCTTCTCATCTGGGCTCGGATCTGACCACATGTGGCAGCCAGGATGGCTTGGAAGGATGTGTTTTTCTGGGATGATTGCACTTGCACTTTCTCAGTGAGGGAGGTTGATATCAATAGAGTTTCTGCCTTTTCTGCTCTCTCAGGTAAGATATTAGTAAAGCAGGGGATTTTTATTGCTGAAGAAGCCCATAGGATGCTCCCAGTGACCTGCAGCCTGGCAGTCAGGAGCCTGTTCACAGCTTGCCAGGCTGGCATCTCACAGGGACACTGACACCACTTTGGCCCATGTGGTGGGAACGGAGCTGAGGATTTCCAAACCACAGGATAGCTTTGAAAAGCTGTTTGGCAGGGGGCTGTCATCATGACTCTGATCCCTGTGGGACATACAGCACACAGAGCAGTGGGCATCCCTTCAGTCTGGCTTTGGCTGCTGTTTTGGAGCAGGTATTGCACTGCCAAAACACAGTCGGTGCCTCTTGGTGGTTTGTCAGTTTGGGGACAAGGGTGACAGCTCTCTTGGGAACAGCCCTGGAGTGAGCACCATAAATCACAGCCAGTGGGAAGAACAAAGGCCCCTCACTGGATGGGGTGTGGGGCAAGAGGCATTGCCCGGGGTCGCCTGAATTTATGACTCCCTCTGGCTCCTTTAGCAAAGGATGCTTTCGACATAGGACTCAAAGCAACAGCCTTAGAAGGGGAGATAAAAGCCTGGGAGAAAAGAAAGGATCATCTTTTTCCTTCTCTTTCATTTTTTTAAATCAGCAGAGGGAGAGGAAGCACCATGGCAACATCAGCCTCCTCAGGCGGCATTCTCAGAGCTGGAGACCTCATTCTAAAACTTCTCCAACTGAGCAGCCTTTGGCAAACCTCACTGCAAGGCCATCCCTGTGTCTGAGGCATCACAGCCCTGTCACCAGCATCTCCTGCCTGGCTGGCAGGAAAATCCATTCCCAAACGTGGGTCAGCCACTGCTGATGCAGTGCAGAGTCGGAGGGAGGGATGCGAAGAGGAGCGTGATCCTGTTAACAAACCTCGGCTAAACAGGCTGCTGGGGCTGTGCAGGCAGAGCCTCATTGATATTGAAATCAGGTACAATCCATCACCGGGAGAACAGGCTCCTTCCATGGGGAGCTGAAAAGAGCCACTCTCAAAGGGAGGGGGAAAAACTTGTCCAGGGGAAGGGCGAACCAAAGTGTGGCAGGTGTGGTATGGAGAGGGATGCTGTCCGTGCCAGACAGTGATTCATGGGCGAGCCTGCCGTGCCTCTGCCAGGGCGGGTGCAGACTGCAGGCCACAGAGAGCCCTGAGTGGCAGTGGGACAGTGGGACTGGGGAGGTGTTCTGCTGGGGCCTGGTCCTCCCAGCACTGGCATTGCAGAGCGACAACTGCCCTGGTTTGTACCACAGTGTGAGAAAGTCCCTGGTGGAGCAGTCAGCATGACCATGGGGGCAGTTTGTGGGTGTTTGGAAAGGAGGTGACATCAGGTGCATCCATGGGGTGAGGCTCCTGGGCCACCCTTCCACCTGAGCTCCCTCCCTGCTGAGTGAAAATGCAACTTTGTGTTTTCACCCGTGGCCTTTTTGGGTCCCCATGGGACCCCATGGGACAGCATAAAGCTGCCAGGCAGGATGAGCTACCCTCAGCCTTTTCACTGTGTTACCTCAACCAGCATCCTGCCCCAGGGCAGCACGGAGACTCCCCGGGGCATTGCCCAGCCAGGGATGACGACCAGACTGTAAAGGCCCTTGAACCGTGGCCTGATCTCAGATCTGTAAATCTAGATCAATGTTTAAAAAAAAGCCAAAAATAGCCCCAAAACAAAAAACCCAAACAAAAACACCAAATCGAAGTGAAACTCAGTTTGGTTTCCTGTGTCTCCAGCCAAGTTTCCACCAAGACTGAGGGTTTGGTACAGTCTGAGGTGATGGGGACTGTGTCCTGGGGAGAGGGATGGGTAAATGAAAGAGAACTGGGGTTGAGGACCAGCCTCATGAGCTCCCCAAAACTGCCTCCCCTAGTGCAGACAGCCCCAGGACTCGAGGCACGGTCGCTCTCACGAATCTTGTCTTTCAGTGTTGAGGGTCAGCCCGAGTCACCCCATCACTGCTCAAACTGAACGCTGCCAAATCTGCCCCAGCACCTCAGCCTCCGGCCCCAGCTCCCCACACCTGGACGCAATCACAATGGGAAAAAGCCTCAGATCCAGTTCACCACCAGATGCTGTTTACTGACCGGGAATCCTTCCTGCTCAGCAAAGGAGCGGGGAACCAGGCGCTTGCCATCGCCCCCGCGGGACGGTGCGGGCTGCGGGGGATGCCCCAGCGGGGTGGGGATGCTCTTGCCAGAGCTGTGAAAGGGCCGTGGCAGGTTCGGCAGTTCCCAGCGCAGCTCGGGGGCCCGGGGGAAGCCCAGATAAAGCCATATAAGCTCATATAAGCCCACATGAGCCCACATCTGTGTGCGGGGGCTCCTGCGGGGGCGGCCGCTGGCGGAAGCAGCCGTGGGGCTGCAAATCCCTGCGATCCCGCGGAGGCGGGGGACGTTTGCAAAAAAAATGGCATTCTTCTCTGATTTTCTTGCTCTTTAGTGTTTTTTGGTTTTTGGTTTTGTTGGGTTTTTTTTTCTCTCCCCTAAAAAATAGAAAATCATACGAGCTCTGTAGTTAATTAAGCAAAAGACTGAAAGGCTGGGAAGTGCTGGGGTGCAGCTATGAAAGCAATTCTGCTCCGAGGGGAGAATGGGTTTGCTTCTTGAAGGCTTCCCTCTCACGGTGTCTTGCTTAGCAGTGCCCGTGGGATGAGCCCTGGGGCTGGCAGGGTTCCTCCGTGCCCCCCTGGCATCCCCAGGCTCCCTTTGAGCATCATTCCTGAAGATGTGAAAGGGCTGAGCTCTGCTTCAGGGCTGCCATCGGGTTTGTCACTGCAGCAGAGTGACTTAGAGCCTCTACCCCCTTCTTGGCAGCAGACTTGGGCTTGTCCTGTCCCTCCTTTGAGCTTTAGCTTTGTCTCTGCTTTTGTCTGCTGTGTAGAATCCAAGCAGTTCTCTGGCAGAGCAGCTCTGTACACCATCAGTGAGATTTGCAACACTCCTGCTTTAAACAGTGAATGGAGTCTCCTGTCTCTTCACAGGAGACAGGAGTTCACCAGAGGAATCTCCTCTTCTAGCCCTGGGATTAGGGCATTTATCCCAGGGTTTGGGCTCTGCCCCACCATCCCTCGGGGGAAGGAGAAATGTCCAAGGCAGCGTCTCTGCCACTGTGCTCCACTGAATGGAGGGAAGGAGAGCAAAGGGTAAAATTAAACCTGCACCCTGAGTCTGGAGATAAGTTTCCTGTGATTGTTGTAGAAAAAAATTTAAAACCATTGGCCCCAGTGTTCATTTTCTTCTTTTCATAACCTACTCGCTGTATTTGATCCTCCAACCTCCACCTGATAATTACAGATCAGTGTGCTCTGATAATCCTCAAAATTCCCTGTGACCAAGAGCAACTTCCCATTGCCACCTTCATTTGTCACTCTGCCTTTTGCCAGCAGCACTTTGCACCTGCCTGAGCCAGGTCCCTCATCCCCCAGCACCAGGCTGAGAGGCCAGGATGTGTGCCCATGGACCACTATGGCACTGACAGATGCCCACGTTGTCCTAAATGGCTGAACACTGGTGTGAAGGGGACAAAGCCACTTCCAGACACTGCCTGAGCCACTTCCATGCTATCCTAAGCTTGCTGAGGAGCAGAGCTATTATCCTGGATGGGTTATTGCTGCCTTATTCCTTCCCATGTTGCTGGACCTGGGCTTGACTGGGCTCTGCCTTGACTTACACAGACCCTGTCAGAGAAATGTGGTGAGAGCTGGTGTCTGGGGAAAGCACTGGCCCTGGGGATCAGTGTGATCCAGGAAAGCTCAAGCATGGCTGGGATGAGGCTGCCACCAGAGCAGGACCCAGCCTTTTGGGCCACATTAGACAAACAAACACAGAGCCCGGGGCTGGCGGGGGCTCCAGGCAGTGACGGGCGATGTGCCAAGTGACCCAGCCCTGGGGCTGCCTTCTGCTGCTGCTGCAAGCTGAGGGACCCCAGGGCTCCCCGAGGGGATGGGAATGGTGGGACAGTGATGAGGAAGAGGAGGAATAGGGAAGGCTGCTCCTGGCAACTTTGGGAGTGGGGCTGGAGCAAGGTCATATGCTGGGGAAGACATATTCTGGCAGAATCATAATGGAAATAAACCTTACTAGACTTATTTTTAGCCCTGCTGATGATGCTGGGATTATTTAGGGCTGGCTGACACTGTGGTCTGGGGCTCTTTGACAAACCTCAGTTATCTTGTGTTTTGTTCTTCGATCGTAAAATTTGGTGGGAAAGAGAGAATATTTTCTGTGTGTTGGTCAAGGACCCCATGCCTAGCATGCCTGGGCCCTTTGGTGTAGTAAATAATAAACACAAACAATAATTGACAAGGAATTTACTACGTCTGATGAAAACTACCCAGCTGGTCAGACAGGGAGAAGGAAATATGCAGGATGACTTTGGTCAGCCTAACAATGAGATGGATGCAGAATCAGACAGGTAGCTCAGCAGACCGTAAGGCAGAAGTTTCAAGTCTTTTTCAAATTCACATCAAAGCATGTCAATGAAAAAAAAGAAAACCTTTGTGGAGATGATTGGTATAAAGGTCAAATAATTAATAAAGGTTGTCAGGTCTTGCTGTGGGCACACTGGCAAGGGAGATGGAGTAGCTGGGTTTGAGTGACAGTGGGTGACTCTTTAAATCACACACGCTCCTGTGAGTGGACGGGTGGCTCTGGGCTGAGTCCTAAATTTGCTGTGTGGGGTCAGGAGTCAACCTAACGCACAGCAAACCAGCAGCTCTTGCACTTCAATCCACACAGAGGAACAACTTTTAGGGAAACTTACACAAACTGCTTTTTTGATGTCTTTAAACCCTCCCTGCAAGATGGTTTGACAGGGTAAACACATGCAGACCCATAAATTAGCTGTAATAGCTGAAGCCCCATTGTGTAGGCAATGGCTCGCAGCAAACAGCAGCTACTCCTGCCCAACAATGCGAGGAAAGTCGCCCTGCACATTTTTTATCCTTTGACACAAAGTGCAGCTGCAGAAATACCTCAAGCGGGATTTTACTAAAAGACAATCGTGCCCTTGCAGCTCTGCACATTTGAAAATGAACCCATGGAGATAACGGGCCCAGGCTCACAGTGATAAACATGTCAAGATAATTAAAATTATGTCTTTCTTCTAATAGAAAGGGCAAGATCCTAATCTGATATAAGATGCTGTAGCTCTGTATGGTCAGTGGAGTCACTCCTGCTCACCCCACTGGAGACTGAGCCCATGGAATTGGCAGCAATGAAATGAGATCCAACAACCAGGCTCTGCAAATGCAGCCTGGTCAGAGAGGTCACAGTTTGGTTGTGTGTGCCAAATTCTCATCTTTCCCCATCCAAAATAAATCCGGGATTTTTGTATGTGTGTGCAGATGTCATTTAGGAGCTAAGCTGAAGGCAGACAAGCTGCCTGTGCAATTCAAGAGTCAGCTTTCAGGGGAAAAAAAAAAGGTCTGGATGCTCAGCAAAGGAATCAAGTGAATTTTCAAAGTGGGATTTAGTCCCAATTTGGGTGGGAGGTTGTTGTAGGGATCAGGGGCAGCAGGGTCACACACATGTTTGGGAAGGGCTAGGGGCAGATATAATGGGGATGAGAAACAACAAAATCCACAAGATAGGCTGGACCAGGTTCTTAGAGGAGTTTAAAGCAGGGAGAAGTGCTGGAAGAACGGCAGCCTGAAGGAGAAAGTTTGGAGAAGCCTCTGGCAGGCAGGATTGCCCTGCAGAGGAGGAGCAGGAGCATGCACAGGGCCGGTGTTGGGGCTTGTCTGCACAGAGCAGCATAGCAAAGCTGCTATTGTGGAATAAAATATGCTGGAATGTGGACACGCCTATTCCAGAATAAAGCTGCTTTTTCCTAATTTAACTTAATCCACTATTTGTTTTTATTATTTTTATCATCATCAGATGCAGCTAATTTGGAAAAGCTGTTCCAATTAATTTCCCTGCATAGACAAGCAGCTACATGCTGGAAAGCCTTTGTCTGTTCAGTGGCAGCCTGACCAGCAGCTTCTATTCATTTCAAAACCAGCTCCTTTCTTCTCCCCTCTGACCATTTTTTCTGTTTTGTCTCATCAGACCATGAAGGGAACAGGAGCAGGAATTTCTCCTGGGTGTGTGGAGCCTGGTAGCCCTGTTTATGGGAGGGAGAGCAGGAAAAAAAGTGTTATTGAAAGTGAAGGAATAAAGAACCTCAGGACAAGAGTCCAGGGCAATGGTCAAAGAGACCATGATGACTTCATGGATAACTGTGAGGGACTTGGATTGAGGTAGTGTCTGCCATTATTCTCTTTAAATTGCTCAAGCCATGGGTAGTGCACAGCCTGAGACATCAGCACAGGGGGCCAGGGCACACCGGGTTGTCCATGTTGAGAGATCCAAAACTTGAGTCAGGCCCAGAACAACAGCTGTTGGTGGCACCAAGTCCATGCTCAGTTTCTAGCAGGTCCCTTGGATGCATCCATGGTGCTGGACAGTGGGAGCACCCCATGTCTGGGGGGGCTGTGGTGGCTGTGCTGCTCCCAGAGATCCAGAGCCAGCTCTTGAGGAGCCCAGATGTTGCAGAGGAAGCTGCTGAAGAATGATCCATCCTTTCCTTTGGCTCGGAGATGAAAGCAGCTCACATGAGCTCGGAGCTATGAGTGAGTAACTCATTAACCAGCACTCAGCCACTGCCCTACTGGTTTTGAACAGTTCTTCACCAGCCCCCCTTCAGCTTTCAGCCAGAGCAAGATGAGCTGGGGGAAGCCTGCACATAGGGAAAAACCAAGACACAAACCCCTGACCCAAACTGATTTGCTCCCTCTGATCCTACAGTGTCCCTTTTCCTACTTTTATTTCTTCCACCCTTTTTCTTGGAGACCCCACCATCTCCTCACTCCATCCCACTTGGTCTTGTCCTCTGGTACTTCAGATATTTGGCTCATCCTCCTGCTGACTAGCAAATGTTGGACATTCATCTCAAAAAGCAACCTGAAAACAGTCCAGTCCATCATCCCCTGTGCTCTGGGCAGTGAAGCCCATGCCAGCAGGAAGAGTCAAGCACATCCATTGCTTGTGTGGCAGGGAGCTTGCAGGAGAGACACTGGGGAGAAGGATGGAAGCTAAAAACCCAACTTTTCTGCCAGATGTTGGGTGCACATAAAGAGATGTCAGCAGCTGGAAGGGAGGACGGACAACTTCTCTCCCTTCCAGGCAATTCCTATATTGTTTGTAGAGTCCCTTTCCCTCCCAAAGCTTGACCTTGAGAGACAAAATCAATGCCTTAAAATGTTGGTGCAGGACTGTTAGGAGCTATTGCAGCACAAAGTCAGGTTCTCATCTGGCTCAGTGCC